TTCGTCTTGATTTCAACCTACAAGAGCTGCCATGAATGGCTTCCAGTCAAGTAAATGTAAAGTGTAACAGCTACAGCCAGTGGCTACGGAAGCCGTATAAAGTCTTTTGTGGCTCCATAGGGAGTTGTATGAAGTCTTAAACAAATTTGTTATGCAAGAAGATCAAGAAGCTAAAAATAAGCACAACAAGACAAAATAGTTTCTAGTGACAGCTGAAGGGCCAAAAAAAATGTATCCCAAGAAAGGCCATGCATGATGAAAGGAAAAGAAAGGTTAAGAAATAAAAGCTGAGGAGATGTAGTCTTTTGGGAACTTAAAGACAAAAGAAAATTAGCAAATGGAGGGCGAAGAAGTGGAAAAGATGTGAACAGTTTCTTTTGTAGGTTGAGCTTTTTTCTGTGCCAAAATCCCAAACTAATGCCAGGCTAAACAGATGGAAAAAGTAAATGTAGTCAGATGCCACTGCACATAATAACGCTTTAAAGCTAATTCCAAGCAACATTTTACAAAGATTATGTATTGAATAACACAAAGTGACCCAACAAATGTTGCACAAGGAACAGGGAAGCATGGGAATAAAAGGTCAATCCTGCAAACATAAGTCCTGGGTTTAATTTAAAGTGTTTGCTTTCGTTGCTCTGTATGTTGAAAACAAGATTACATTGGCATCCTTTACACAAACACACACTATGACACACTGTGTGAAAAGGAAGCGGAAAAAAAGTTCACATAAGGTCTGTGAACACCAGGAAATGAAAGAACACTTTGATTTTCACTGCTGAAACTTAGGTGACCTTATTTCTTAGAAATTGAATGTCACTGTAAAAGCAAGAGCTATCATGAAATATTCCAATCTACTTGCCATTTAATCAACTGACAACGATCAGCCTGAAACACATCTTTAAAGGGAGACTATTGGTGACTAATGACACAGCGAGGGTCTGTAGGATCCTACTTATGTAACATGATGTCGTAACTGACCTTGAGCGCGCTACAGGTTGGGAGCATCAGGAAGTTCGCCAGAGAGCTGAGATGGTCTCATGTCCGCAATGGTGTTTTCACAGTTATTCTGGGAGAGATAGAAGCAAGGACGAGATTTCTCACTGCAGCCTGGCAATCTGTGGAGAGCAATATCTGAAAGCTATCAGCAGTCCTCAGGTCTGTGCATCCCAGGCGTTATTTCATGATTATTTTACTCTAGGTGTGCTAACGTTACAGCAACCAATCTTCTGGACTTCCCGATCCAGTATTTATCTAGACAGTTGTGTCTGTTTTGATAGATATTTTATTATTTGCCCCTCAATTTTTATTTATTCTGGTCTTGAAGTGGTGTTACCTAATGTCCTATGCTGTGATATCTGTTTTTATTGCACTCTGCATTGTCCATCAGGCAGACAGCTGTTTCCCTCCCGGAGAGAGACCCTCGTCAAGTCACAGGCTGTTCTCTGCTGTTCCCACATCACCACATGATGCTTTGAGAGATAAGCTAACTAGCATTTTTTTCTTTCTTTCTTTTTTTTCTTTTTTCAATTGTAATAATGGGACATGTATACAAAATGATGACCTGCTTCTATTACCAATTGTATCATTGCCTGGTACTAAAATAAAGGGATTCTGTATTTTATTAAAACCTGCAATAATTGTTTCTTTGGCCACTTTAGGGCAGTAAAACAAGCTGAAACAACATGTAGCTAACGTGTAACACCTGACTATTTACGCATCCAGCCGACACTGAGCAACATCATTTGGACATTTCATTAATTTTTTTAATAGAAAAATAAAACAGGTGGAGGCAATGTGTTTTAAAGGATCAGTGTGTAGGATTTAGTGGCATCTAAAGGTGAAGTTGCAGATTGCAACTAGCTAAACCCCCACTTGACAACCTGGGAATGGGCTGTTTGTTATTCTAGGATTGCAGGGGTAATATTACTGCTCTAATTACTATAAGGACCAGTGTGTAGGATTTAATGGCGTCTAGCCGTGTAGTTGCAGACTGAAACTACCTGGCTTCACCCTCCTCTCTCAAGTGCAAAAGAAAAACTACGGTGGCCACGAAAGGCGTGAAAAACGGCCCTATCTAGAGCCAGTGTTTGGTTCAATTTCAGCCAATAGAGTCTCCTAATTGTGGACAACTGCAAGGAACTCTCTTGCTTCTACCACCTTGTTTCATTGATTTAAAGGAGAATGACCAAATCGGTGGCAGGCATTAAGAATAACTATACAGAAATAGCCAATCTTCTCGCTGATGGTCTTTGTTTATGAAGGTCATATAGAGGCATCAGTATTAAACTGCCATTTAAAAAGTCATTGTAGTAGGTTAAGGCATTGCTTCTGTATGAATAGTGATGTTACTATCCAGCACTTTCCTCTGAGATGGAGACTTTGCTCCTGTGTATTCATTGGCAGTCTCCACAAATGAAATCTTCTAATAACAGACCGGTCAACTGGAAAACTATACAACATCAATTTGTCACTGAGCCATAATCAAATAAAAACTCATCCAGAATGTTTGGTAACCTTTGAGCCCTTAATGTTATGAGACATTTTACGTAACAACTGGCTATGAGCGTACAATGCTACAGACTGAGTTGGCATGGATATTTGAATCATAATGTCCTTCAGATATTTGTAGATTTTGGAGCAGAGTAAGGCTAGTCCTTCAGTCTGATAGGACTGGCCTGTGGACACTCATTACACAACACAGGGCTAAGTGGAGGGATTGTTGTTATACCAAACTGTCACCTCTGACACAAAATGATGTACTGATATAGGGACGATGAGTGGCCCAGTCTCTGGCAGCATCTGTCTTAATCCGTAATGTATTTATGCCTCAGCAGAGCACCACAGCAGACTCAGACATGGCTCAGACATGCTGAGATCAAACTGATAGGACAGGCCTCCATTATATGGTGACATAACAGCATACTGTACACTCAGTTGCCAGTTTATTAGGTCTACCTACTGTAGCTAAAACTAATGCTGTTTAATATAATCCTCGTCGAGACGTGTTAATTTAACTTTATGATGATTTAGCCGTATCCTAGGAATTACATCCACTTTTAAAATATTTAGCACCGAAATGTTTATGTCTGCTGCCAACGTTCAGTTCCATTCAAAGCAGGAAGTGGTGTGTCCATTGCTGTATGTAGCAAGGCAAAAGTTAAGGCTGTGGAGGTCAGGGTGGTGGATGAGTGTGTAGCACATTTGACTTTTATGCAGGAAACCAAAGTTTGCATCCCATCACAGACCTGCAAATAATGATCACCTCTCAGTTAAGGATCTTTCAGGATCTTTCCCTAACCTTAACCAGGTCTTTTAGCTGCCTAACCATAACCATACCTTAGCAATAGTTAATTTGTCATAGCCACAGTGTTTCTTTACCTTTAACCATAATGCAGTTGCCATGCAGAAAGCAATGGTGTTAGACACAAAAAAATAAGAAAAATCGACATCAAACACACTGGGTTATGCAGAATCACCCAGTATCGCTGTTCTTGTGTGGTAACAGCGTTGCAGCAGCATGTCATGGTGCTGTTCAGATATACTGCATTATACTGGGAGGCGTTTGAAAAGTTTGGTCTACTTTTCTCTCTATATTTATTTTCACAAAATTGATCGGACAAAAAAATATGTCACCTTGAACAATAAGGAGACACTTTATAATCTACACTGATTAATAAGAATTTAATTGGTGGAGTAATTGATTATGAAAATAATTGTCAATTTTAGCGCCAAAAGCAATATGTTTCAACGGGGGAAAATAAGATGAGCAAACACTCTCCAAGAAGTAAACGTGTGGTTAAACATTTTCACTATCAGGAGACAAATTGAGGCTAGGCAAGTCATTAAATATCCCGTTTTTGACTTGTAGACATTATTATGTACATAATGATTTTTGTCTTTTTGTGACTTTGTATCAAACTTCATGTCAAAAGCATCATAAATCCTCTCCAGACCCATATGCACCAAACTTTGCACCTCCAAAGAATTGATTTCGTCAGCAGTTAGTATTAACTCACTGGTTACACCACAAACAGGAAAAGTGTCCTGCAGGAGTCAATACACACCATGTTGTGTCATGCATACATAAGAAACGAATGCATGTCAACATTATTATGTATGTATTAGGTTTAACCTACACTTTGATGCACGTGAGCCTGTGGATTGTTTATCCGTGTACACCTGATTGACTGGTTGCCTCTCAGCAGCAGCCATGCACATCCTCCTCCGGACACAGCATCACATGATCAAGCTGCTTCTGGTTAGGATGTAACTGAGCCACAGGAAGTCCAGTTAAAAGTTAACAGCAATG